AGCCAGCCAGCCAGCCAGCCAGCCAGCCAGCCAGCCAGCCAGCCAGCCAGCAAGCAAGCAAGCAAGCAAGCAAGCAAGCAAAAACAAACAAGCACATGGCTGTGGGTCAAAACCTGGAGCCCGAAACCCTGGTAGGAGGCCGATGCTAAGCAACCACTTGCAAGTGGCTTAGAGGCCCCCTGTATGGTCATCGACTTCAGAAATCCTGGGGTTGTGGCAATATTCACCTTTTTAAGACATTTTGGAAGCACCTCGAGATGTTATTCCCCAACCGAAGCATCACAATCGACATTAAGACATCCGCTACCGATCTAGGTCGATCTAGGTTGTAGGTTACACCGTTACACCATACACGTCACATTGTACTCGCCAACATACGACAGCGGATTGGAAAACTCCGCCGAGCTGCCACTAATTTATTTGGGTGTCCACAATTTTGTTTGCTCCCTCATAGCAATGCATTATCTCTCCGCTAATTAATGTGCAAGACCACCCTTTTGTATTTATAATCGTGCAAACACTCACAACCATACGTCGGATGCTGTGCGCTATGCCCTCTTTCGCTCATAATTCCTCCATGCAGTCACTACGCATACCTGTCAAGGAAAAGGACCCGTGGGAGCATTTCTTGCAATTTACAGCGTGTGGGCCGGCACTTATCTCCTACCGCAGTCTTCGCTGGCCCTGGTGGCCTTGCCCTCCAACTACAATCAGCCACGCGTGAAAACGAGATGCTTGCCGTACAGAATGGGATTGGGTAGTTCATTCGCTGGTGAAACACCACCATGGGATACCTGCACGACCGTTTGATAGTCACCGTACCGCACAGACGCTTAAAAAAATCGCCGAAAAATGATCGAAAATGTTTGCCATCGATTTGGTCTGCGCGCACCAGAATGCCCAAATTCTACAATGCCCTGTTTTGCAGGATTTCCAAATCCTGTATTGGGCGTGTTCGTGCAAGGTCTTCAAGTGTGCAGCGATGATGCTGAACATCGTGAACTTGGCGTCATTGGAGCTGTACTTCAAGCACATCGAGAAGCTGGTCATCCAGTACCCGCAGTGTTGGTCCTTGATATACACAGCAGGACAGCCGTCAACAGCAGCGCCACAGTCAGCTCCCATCCGAGACTGAGGTCCACTTACCCGGCGGGACAACCCAGGGATACAGCGGCAGACGGACAATCCATATGATGACAACTATTGGCCACAAGATGTGGAGCTATGGGATTGGACGCAAGATGGATGGTGTGATTTGACGAACAGATTTGGTTTTACATGTTTGTGAACAGGAGTTTTCATAGCTACCTTAAATGGCACGCCCTGCATACAGCAAGAGTTTTCAGATTCAGATCGCGTTCTGACGGGCAGTGAGATGATATTTCACTTCATTGTTTCACTGCGCGGTTGCATTCGTAACTGAATGCCGATAGTCGGAGAGTGAA